CGTCCTTTATATCATTTTATTTGTCGTGAGAGTACCGTTTCCCAGGTACGTCACAATACATACATACATAAGGTAATGTATAGAAGGAAATTTGGATCAGGGATGACATTGTATTAAATTGAATGTTTAAAGTAGTAATAGGGCTATTCGTAAAAAAAGATAAATCTTGTCAGCAATAACAAAACACACAAATATATATTAATGAACTTATAAAAGTATAATAATTATATTTTCTTTGTTAATAATAGAGTAATTTCTTCTATACCATTTTAATTTGCTGATCGAATGCAGTATCGAAACATGGAGGACTTGGTTTAGATTGAATATTTTATTGAATCTGCTTTCTCCAGCTATTTTCTGACGACAACTAATCAAGAGCCATAATTTTCTTGAAAGTACTAAATGCTAATATGCGAACCAGACGTGTGAGTGTAGCACTGAGGCAGAGGAAGCCAAGGCCCTCTAGAGGATAGTCAGTCCCAAGGTGCATGTAACATGCATATTATATGTAATTTGGTCAGTCCTTCCCGAGAGATTATACTAGGATTAATGCCCTTGACGTAAATCAGCTGTTCGCGGTTTTATTAAATCGGGAGCTTGAACACCCCTGTAGTGACGTCACTGTAGCGGCAACTCCCGATTGGATAAAATAGCAACAGCTGATTTACATCTGAAGTGCATGGCTACATAAATCGTGCTATAAAAAAAAAAAAGTGAATCGCCTGGTATCGCCTCCCTCCATTGAATTCAACGGTGTGTTGTTTCTTGTTGAGGAGTTGAAGTACCGGATTTCGGTGAAGAGTACAAAAAGTCAAAGAAGTTAATTTTTGCCTCTGGTATTTTGACGATGAAACCTTTTTCATAGATTGGAACTTTCGATCTAAACCAAGATTCGCGCCGTACCTGTTGTATTCTGCAAGAGTATCCCTTATTATAGTAAGTACTTCATTGGCACCTCTAAAAGTACTGATTTTCAATTTGCAATATTCCTTGGGTGAGAAATCTCGAGGTATTAATGAAAATAACTCCTCTTTAGAGGATCCATTTTGGGGTTATGTTTTATGTGTATATATGTATATGTAATGTATATAGTATAAACACACCACAACTCGAAGAATTAATGAAGGGCCTAAGAGAGACAAAAAAAAGAAATATGGGAAGGCTTTTATTCAAAGGATGCAATGACCACTAGAGAATGGATATGATCGATGACATTCGGTGGCAAGGCTTGCTGTGCTTTATTTCACCATAAAGTATGTATAACGAAAAGTTTCCCTGGACCAAACAATCAGTATGTGTGTAAATGGTGCGAGGAATTATGTGATAGGTATTGTGCCTTATAAATGCAGTTAAAGGATCACATCCATCTCTAAGCTCAGCACAGAATAAAAAGAAGTAATGGAAATGGTGAAACTTGCAGTGTGGTAGCGTAGATGATAAGGAAGCAGTAGGAAAGAGATTGAACCGTGGAAGTAAAACATTTTCATTTCCTGCATGTTCTCTCTATCCAATAAGTTTTTTTCTGTCCTTTTCTAGTGCATGATTACATAACTTTCTCTTCTTACAAAGGATATTTAATTCTTTTCTTAACAAGTATCAGCAACTGCAGTGACATTACAATTTGAAACCTCTGATTGCATAATGGAAGCCCCTCTCCCCTGTCAGTCGCATGCTGAATAAACAGAAATATTATTCGGACAATACAAGAATACATTTAAGGTCTCCCCCAATCATGGGCGGTTCCAGCTGATCATTTTGGAGGGGGCCTTCATAAAATTTTGTTGAATAATAAACATTTGTTGTTATTTTGTATATTTTAGTATACATTTTTTTTTTAAATTACATAATTCTAACATAAATATTTAAAATAATTTTTGCAAATAAAAGAAAGGTAACAAACAGAAACTCTAGACCTTTGGCGGGGGGGGGGGNNCCCCACACACACACACACTGGATCCACCACTTGAAGTAATGCTAGGTTCACTATGTCTGCCTGCTGAAAGATTCACCCAAAACTCTCAACTACAGAGAAGTTTCTCTAAGAATGAAGAAGTTTGACAGGTTGGGAAACAAAACACCATGTTAGGTGGTGGTACTGCAAGACATTGTGTGGAAGCCATTTACAAAGTAGCTGACTGCAAACAAATATATCGATGATTTGAACACATGGACATAACCTGCTGTTACCTTGCCAGCAGAAGCCAAGCAATGTCTGTCATAGCGTTCCTTTCTGAGAGTAATCTCTCTTTACCCCTCTTCCCTCCCATCTCATGATTTACCCCGCTCCTGAGCAATTCATTGCGCAGGTTTAAACAACTTTGTTAAGTTGTGCTGTGTTCTCTACTTCACCTGAATGAATACATTATTCCATGATAGTACTTTTTGCAGGCTGCAAAGTGTATGAGGAATTTATTAATATGTGGCATAATATTTTGTGATAATTTGCCTTGTAGTTGGAACATAAACTGTTGTTTTTAGAGAGAGATCTATCATTCATGTGCTTGATCAATTGGTGTATACAAATTTGATGCTTCATTTCAGGGCTACATCAACATGACTGAACCAATGTTATCTGTTTGTTGGAAAAACCACACCAGTGAACTTGCGACAGTATATCAAAGTTTGTTGGAGAATAATTTTTTGGTGGATTGCACTCTATCTGCTGAAGGTCGGAGCCTAAGAGCTCATAGGCTGGTTTTATCTGCTTGCAGTCCATACTTTCATGTGAGTAAAATGTTACTGTGATAGTGTTGTTTTGTTTTTATCTTATTATTTTGATTATCTTGGTACTCCTAAGTTTTATCTTATCTTTCCCTTCGATTAAAAAATTTAAATAAATTGAAGTGTAACATTGTTTACACATGCTAAATCTGCTCTTATAGATCGATATGGGTAGTAGTAAGGTCAAATGTCTCTGATTTGTATTGCCTCTCACTTCAGTATAAATAGCTCTAATATTTTTAGGAATATATTAAAGTTATTGAAAAAAAAAATTGAACCTCCCCATATCAAGGAAAGTAATGATTCTGAATTTTGTATCAAATCCTTGGATAAATTATTAATTGCATGTCAAACGTCAACAAAAATAAATAATGTGAGAAACGCTTTTAGTACTTACAATATTCTTCATTTGTTCAATAATTACAAAAATTAATTTAATTCATTCCTATGATATGCATATTAACTTTAAACATATTAAATTTAAACTCCATTTTCATATTCCTAGCATTGATTCACAAATAATTTTGTGTGGTGTGAGTGGAACATATTTTGTGAAGTATACTCATTTCATTTACGTAAAAAATACCACCTTTCTCTCTAAGAAACTAAAATCTGAAATGATCTTGCCTGTTGATCATAAATTCCACATAATGGTATGAATTTAGAAAAGCAAGTATTAAAAATTTGTTCATTGAAATTCAGTCAAGGAAATCAGATTTTTGGTGCTATGAAACTTGGAAATGTTAGAATATTTGTAAATTTTGAAATATTTGAAATTAATTAGTTGATGTAACTCGTGGTTTGTGTGTGCTTTTTATTGCACTAAGGTATAAATGAACAAAGATAAACAATTGTTGTTCACTTGAAACTGATAGTTTGTGTCTCGTTGCAATATTCATTTCATTTAGTTATTTAAAGGTTATAAAGTTCATTGTGATAACACATGCAATATTTGATAGCTTAGTTTTCCAAATGTTTGTCTGTGGAGGCTTTGTATAGCACTGCCAATTTTGTTCTTGACATTTTTATCTCAGATTTGTAAATTCCAATAGCAGACGAAAAATATTGTACTTACTTTAGGGGTATGTAAGAATTTATAAGGACCATAAGTGATACCTTGTCGATTTGTTAATGTAGAAGCTGTTTCATGAGGAGACTGGAAAGCATCCATTTGTCGTCCTCTTAAATGCATCGTTTGAAACACTCAAAGCAGTGATTGACTTTGTATACAAAGGAGAAGCCCAAATTTCAACAGTTGGCTTGAAGGAATTTCTGACTCTTGCTCAGTATCTGCGGATCAAGGGCCTAAATGCTTTTACTCAGGAATATGTACGTAAAGCAGTGATAAATTTCATAACAGTTACTGCTGACTCTCAAAAACTTAATGGTTGTTGCTGCTTTCAGGTGAATAAGATTGTTTCCAGAAATTCTACTGGGAATGTCTACATTCCATCTGAGGATAATCAAGATGCGCAGGAGGTTCAAGATGTTAGTGGTAGCAGGAAGAACAACCTTGAATATTCTTCTCAGCCACATCCCCATCTTTCAGGCAGCTTTGCAGATACGGTGCACACACACTCTTCTGTTCCTTTTGAAGCATACAGTGCATCGTGTGAGGAAGAGCAGTCAGTGATGCCACCCCAAGAACATCAGAGACCTGTGGGATGTAATGAAATGTCTGAAGACACAGAAGTCACTGTAAAACATGAACCTTTTTTTTCTGCCTATTCAGAGACAAGAAACAAGAAAGTGGATAATATTAAACAGAGTGAATCCATATCTGAAAGTTATATGAGTGAAATGGATGGAGGGTCTACTTTTGTAACTGGTGAAGAGGATTTGCACCAGTATCCAAGTAAGTAAACTACTAATAATGCCTGTTCCATTTTCACAAAAATATTTATTTCCCAAGCAGTAGTTATTATCGTTTTCAGCCATTCCATCTGTTATGAATGTTATGCTGTGACATCTTTTTATTCTTTATCTGTCAAGGAGAATTTAGTGTACACTTTTTTAACAAAATGAATTGATATAATAAGAAAATAACTTCATTTCAGCATATTTTCTATTATTTTTTTTAATTTCAAAGTTATTAAATGAATAGCAGTGTTACAGATGTTACAAAATTTGAGAAGTCTTGAAAGGGCTGTTGAGTTATTTAAGCAAGATTGAGGTCTTCATCAAATAAAATAAAATGAAATAAAATTGATTAGAGGCTTATCAGTATGTTTCAAAGACTTGGTGTTCACAAATTATTTAGCAGATAATAATGAAATTGATTTAAAAAATATGTATTTATATATATTTTTTGTTATTATGGATGTTACACTCTAATTTGTTATAGATGTTTCACCTTACAACTTAAAGGAACATTTCTCATGAATTTCTTTTAATAACATTAATTATATTAAATTAAAACTACTGAATTTTAAAATGTTTTCATAGGAAAAGCTGCTTCTATTTTCGTTTCTTGTGAGTTGTAAGGGAAGTTTGCCAAAATATATTTTTCATCAGTTCTTTCTAAATTATGAAAGTCCCTATTCCAGGTATTTCTTTAACTGATTCCCATCTCTTGTTTAGAAATGAACGTGTTCCTTCAACATCATAATGTGATTCAAACAGAACTCTAGTTTTCTTTTCTAGGACACTAGCGTACTAAAGAAAAAATCTTTAGGTGATACTATTTAAAATTTCCATGCTTTGACAGCATTCCACACCTATAGCACAATCTGCACCTTCTCCATGTCCAGCAGCAAATGCACCCCATTGTACTGTTTTTACAACTAAATCACGAGCTAAAAAATTGATGCTGTTTTTTTTCTTCTTTCCCTGCAGTATTTCATAACTTTCACTATACTAGGTATGTTACTCCATATATACATATGTATATTAGAGAGTAAAAACACATATCGTAAACAGTGAATTTCCTCTTAAATTGTTTAGGAGAGTTGTCAGAAAAACATGAAGATGGTAAAAAGCACCTTTGTAGCTGCCATTACTTTTTAAACAAAAATGAATAGAATATTTTCCATTTCTTTTCCTGTTGGGAAATAATACAAATTAGAGAAATGTAACTGAATAAAATTATATTTCAGATACAGAATAAAATTATTTATTCTTAAAGAAAAGTATGAGTAATTAATAATATAATGATAATCAACATAACTAATAATTAAATAACACAAAAAATTTAATTACATAAATATAAGTTACTTATCAAATTTCTTGGAGTACATAAATATTTTTAAAAAAAATGTATTAATCCTTCACAATCTCAATCCTGTTTTGGGCAGAAAACGGCTGAATCTCCACAATAAGGTTGTACCAACATTAACTTCATTTTAGATGAAATGCTTTTTCAATCCTTGAAAAAGTACTTAAAAACTACATATTATCACTTTTTCTTTTAGAAGTCATAAAATTTGAAGTTTAAAGACAATGTATACCTGATAAAATTAAGTTCACAAACTTAATTTTTTATTCATTTACCTTTTTTATATAGAATGGGTGTTTTCTGTTTGAAATAGTTTTTAAGATATTGTATTATGGGTGACAAATGAGGTGTATGAAATTCTGAAAGAAAATAAACTCAATTTCAACATCTTGGAGAACCAATGTCCAAAGCTTATAATTTGGCAAATGTATTGATTGTATCTGAGTTATAAATTTTGTCTAGTATGTCAATTTTATTTGACAATGTTGATTCTAAATATTTACTGGCTTGTCAGCTGTATGTCATTTATTAAACGTAACATTGTCTTGCTGGGTTGTGAGCAACATGTGACCCACAGATGCTTGAATTTTGTTTGGCATAACTTGCTAGGATTGTGTGAATTATGTTTTGGACTTGGTGGGGTCACAAGTATTCCGGAAGTATATTTTTGTCAGAGAAAATTGCAATAACACTTCCTGAAAGTCAGATCTGTACTGTTTTACTTAAGTTTTATTTCAAACAAGAAACAAATATGAATTTTTGCATTGTACACAATGCATTTCAAAACATTTCACATTTTTTAGCTGCAGGACTTTAACCAAGTTTACTTTCTTTTATAATTATGTAGATATGGAATAATATATTTTGAATAGGGGAAGTTATGTAAGGAGATACAAAAAATCTGTTTTGAGATTTCAACAGAAATACTTGTTCTCTGATACTAAAAGTGACTCTGTCTCTCTCTTTTTTGAACATCCATGTATCTGTGAACAACACTAGTGCCTATTCCATATTTAGGATATATGTCGAAATGAATTTTCCACAATCGATCTGACTCCACTCAAAGCCCTGCGATTTTGAAAATAATGCTTTGAATTTTGGGGGGAGTTTACATGAAGTCCCTAGGACATTCTCATCCATTTTATTCTTTAAATTTGTTGTAAGAGTAGAGTGAAATACATCTATAAAGATGGCATAGGTCCGATTTTCATAATTACCCCAGAAAATTGAAAAAGTTAAAAAGTTTTAGGACTCTCATACAGTTTATGTTAAGGGTGTTTTTTATAAATTGTCATGTTTACGAGTACAAGTGCCTTAGGGGCACTTGTACCTGTGCCTTAGGGGTACTTGATTTCTTGTAAAAGTTCTCCAAAAGTCAAAAGTTTTGTGTGATGATGGGCTCCAAATAGCTCAGTATCTGAAATTCTTAAATGATCTTTTTTAACACTTTCTTGACCCTTTCACTGTTTTAACCCTTTATAAAAAACAGTCCCAAATTTTTCTATGGCAATTTGCGTGTATAATTAAGCTTGTAAATTCATAATTCCTTTCCACTATTAAGGGACCGAAATATTGAGAAAATGTGAAAAAGGAAAAAATAGTGTTTTAGGTGCCGTTGACGACTGGGAAGAGGGGAGGGCAAAGAGGAATAGCTTGCTCAGACAAAAGAGATAAGGAAACTACTATGAAACTAGTATGAGACTTGTGTGTTCCATTGTGTAGTAACATTGTGTTGTACATTTCCATAGTGTGTCAATGCAGCTGTTTTCTCTGGATTTTCCATTTTTTTTGTGCTCAATTTCGGACAGAATAGGCTGAGATGAAACTAATAATGCTGTATGAAACACAAACCATTTCATTGTAAGCTGACAGGTGTGCAGATGCTAAAATGTCCCACAATATTAATGAGATACATGTTTCATGGCAATAACGTCTACTTGTCAATGTTTTGTTTTTGTTTTTAGTTAGATAGTGATTCTGACACTGTATGCTGGATGTTTAAACCAAAATGTAATTTGGATGTGCCAAAATATTGTTGTTCTTAGTCATGATACTAGTTTAAACATCATACAATAATGATTACTCAGATTAACAAAATTTAAAAATATTTGCTTTGTACTTTTTATTTTGTGTTCTTCAAGTGTAAAAGTACTGAATTAAAAAAAGTGTTTGCATCCTTAGAGAATGGGTGCCTGGGGCAACTGTCCCCCGACTCTGCTTTCGCTGAATAAGACTGCTCTGTTTTGCTGACTAAGATAAACAATAGTACCTTAAAAAAAAAAAAATTCTGTAGGGTGAATTTTGAGAGGAAAGGTTGGAATTTATAAAGGAATCTCCAAATGTACCAGATTTAGAAATCTTGAAATAGTAGATGAATTGTGAATTTTTAAATAGTGAATGAATTGTCAAAGTTACCGTCAAAGAAGATATTTCTTGAATGGTGTATAAAAATGCTTGTCTGTGACATGTTCTCTCCACATTCAGTATCTATCAAATCGACAGCGTTATTGACACATTTCAGAGGCTTTTTAACATAAGCAAAGAACTTTATGAAAAAGTTGTTACGATATCTGGCATTGTCAAAGAGCATTTGCTTTTTGGAGAAGCTATAAACATTAGAAGAATGGAACTTAAGAAAGAAAAGGGAGGGAGGGCTAGGGAATGTGTAAGAGTTGACGAGTACTGGGATCGCTTCTTTAAACTGAAAACTTACTGGTAATATAAAAAGTCTTGTGTTGTAAAGCAGGGATTTCACAGCATTTGATTCGCAAAATAATAGTTTAAAGTATTTCCTGATGAAATAACCCGTTAATGAAATTATGTTTTCGGATTTCTATGATTTTGCATATTTTTGTTTGTTGCTGTAGAACGTAACTAAGTGAAATTTCTTTACATTTGGTTAGAATTGAATGCTGTGTAGATTAATACATTAGTGTATATTTGGCTGATTTTTACATGTTGCTGCATATTCATGTAATTATAGTCGCATATTTTGCATATTTCATTAAAATACAGAGTTATCTCTAAAATGTTTCAACTTTCATAGAATATTTTTATTTGTGAGCGATCATTAATTTGAAAGAGCTTGTCACAGTTTGCATTAATTTTTCTTCTTTTCTATAGACAATAAAATACTTGTACAAATGTAGGTTCTTGATTTCGTATTTGTTTTAACAAGGCAGAAGAAATGCAATAAAACATGTTAGGTGCATATTTACTTCAATTATTTCTCCCTCAAAGTAAGGTAAAATAAGGTAAGATATTATATTTGCAGAAATATATATGGTTTCATTTCAAGCAGGCATCTTCTGAATTTTATGAATTTTATGGTTGACACTGGAAATGGGACTGTATATTGTTAATTTTAATTGCACATTTTTAGTAATTTTTAGGTCATAACTGCATATTTTCAAATGCATATTTCAAGATTTTTTAGAGCATAATGATTATAATCATGATTGTAATCACCTTCCTCAGTTTCAAGGGTTTGGTTTCATATCACCAGCACCTTGTGCAGGCTTTTCTTAGAGAGTTTGTTCCCAACTAAATAATTGTTGTTTCTTTTTTTTAGTTAAACCAGATTATCTTGTGTAGATGAATTTGAACTCTGAATAATGTTGCTAAATAAGATCTCTTAATTGTGAATGTGTGAGTGAATTCTGTTAAAAATATACATTTAAGATGCTATCAAAGAAGTTTAAGGGTAACAATTTTTCTAGGTCTCAACTTTTGGTAATATTATATATGGAACCAAATATATATTATACCACAATTTAGAAAGTTGATTTTAACATTCAGTATCGCTAAGCTGTGTTTTATAAATTTTGGAACAATTTTTTAATAACATTGAAGTGATCATCATGTGAAGTATTTTGCATGCTGATTTCATGTCTGATGTCAAGTTTTCTTTATCACCTAATATCATTTTAATAATTTTTCTAAAATTTCATTGTTTTAACAAGGAAAATTATTTTATTTACATTAAAAAATAAATTGGAGAATTGGTAGACATGTTTAGAATTAAATTGCACCATAGGAGAGTCGATAATCATTTTCAGTATCTTAAAAGTGCCAACTATTAAGAAGACGAAAGGCATAACTGTGTGTATGACAATTAATTATCCCCTTTTCACTGATTTCCCATTAAATTCTCCTCGTTAGCGATGAAACTGTTTTGCATTGATATTCTTCCTTCACCATTGCCTTCCTGAGCTGCTCTCAATGAACTGTGACACTTCTACCAACGGTAGAACCTACCAACGGTTCTAGAACGGTAGGAGGAAAGGTGCTCAATATCAGATTCACTGTGCTTAACTGGTGAGAAAGCCTAAGGAATGTATTGTATCTTTCTTACCTTTTCTGTTTTGACCTTCAACTTTAACAATACAAAAGTAACCATTGTGTACATGGTTTGGACTTTGTCACTTCTTTGAAACCATAGAAATTGCAAAAGACATTGATTTTTCCTGTATGATTTTCTTCACTGTTAGGTTTTGAACACATGTACTGCATATCTTTTGGGGTGCTGAGCGTATGTCATGTCACAAAGCATTATCCCAAAAGAAATTACTTACATGTAATAAATGTTTTGAGAAAACCATTCCTGTCTTGCTTAGCAATTATATCCACCAAAATATAACATAATAAGTTTGGATTATTCAACCACTTGCATGAAGTCATTTCCAAAGAGATTCCACAAACTCATTATCACAGCAACAAATGTAACTTCACAACATTATAACAAGTTTTTAATGAACTACTGTTCCCTCCTAACAGCCTACTGCTCTCTGATAACAAAATATAATCAGCCTTCCTCACCATAAAATTTCTTTTTCTGGAATATTGTTTGAATGAATAATTTGAATTGATTTAAAAAAGTGGTATGTGTTAGAAAAATCAAACTATTAACAGATCTGAAATCAGAATGAAAAAATAGTTTTGAAATACAGAAAATTTTACAATTATCAAACCTCATGTTGCATAGCCTAAGTCTTAAGTGTTCAGATTAATATTGTCCATAAAAATTCAGTAATGCCAGTATAAAATGCAAATACATTCATTGTTTTTAACTGTTTAATTAGTCTTCTAATTATTCATTACCTTTTAAAAGAAATAATTCTGAAGAAGTTTAAGAATAAATTTCATGAACGTATTTATTTTTAAACAAAGAAGAGACAAGTTCAGAAGAAAGGGAAGGAGAAGCAGCGATGCCTAGCAGAAAAAGGGCTTTGACTTCACCACAATTTATAAAAAAAAAGATTGCTCATTTGCCAGAAATGACTAATGTGCATCATAGTGTGAGGTGCAAAAATGGTGGCTGCTCCAAGAAAACAAAAATTAAGTGCAAGGGATGTGAAAAATTCCTCTGCCTCACTGCAAAAAATAATTGTTTTTCTGATTACCATGAAAAGCTGTTATTTTCATAATATTACAACTAACGTGCTATTCAATATCAACTTGTTCATTTTGGGTTATTGTAACATGTTATTTACATTTAAGAGCAAAATTTGCCAGAGAGATTGTAAATAAAGAGTTTTTTTCAGTATTAAAGATATTTTAATTTAGTGCCAGTTGAGTAGTACACAGTCCCAATAACTTATTAAAATGGACATCCCCTTCCAAAATTCAATTTGGCAAAATTTTGCAAAAAATTACTTTCACCGAAGTATGGTAAAACTTGCTCAATGTAGAATCTTAAGGGACCAGTATTTTTTTGCTGTATTAAACAAGATTCCGCATTATCCAACGTAATACTGTAGTCTATGTTGGGTGAGACCGCAATTTATGTTCACATTGGACAGATTTCTGCATTATACATGTTCCACATTGAGCAAGTTTTACTGTATCAAAATTGGACTCCTATTAGTGAATGTCTCAAAATTTATTGACATAACTTTATGCATTGACTGTCATTCTCAGAAAGATAAGCAACAGTCTTCAGTAATTTGTTTTTACTTAAGACAATCTTTCTCCATATACCTACATCTCATTCTTTTGAATTGGTATAAAAATAGTGAAGATGGTCCCAAATCTGTTTTAAATGTGTCAAATAATTTCCTATCAGTATCCATGTAATTAAGATGAAGATTTTCTTTACACAGTTTATCACACTCTTGGAGTACTGGGAATCGTGAATATATTTTTGCAGCAATAGTGTTTGTTGTTAATGAATAATACAAAATGCTTGTGAGGGTAGAAAGAGAAATTTGGTTCCTCTTGTCCCAAACCAGTATCAACGGGAGAAATTCATGTACTGTTAAACACAAAAGGACAAGAAATTGAGGCAGAATTACAAAGACACTTTAATTGTACATACAAAAAATTATGTGAAAATGTGAAATAACAAGAATGACGTGCAATATCTTTTGGTTTAATTTAAAATAATTATAATTATAAGAAAATTATTAGAATATATGAGTGAAAGCCAGAATGATGGATGTAACATTTTATGTATTGGGAAAACAAATATTTATGTACTTTGGTCCACATAAAGGCAAGAATTCCAATGTCCAAATTCACTGCATTTTTTTTAAATTAAAAAAATATTTTAATGAAGATTCTGCTTCATCAATGGATCACAATGAAGCACCTACTGAAATATTTTTAGACCTATTGAAAGCTTTTGTTGTCATTGACCTTAGAGTTGACTTTTGCTTTCAAAATTATTTTAATATGATGTTGATGGTATTGCCTTAGATTGGATATCCTCTTACCTTGAACATAGGTTGCAATGAGTAGAAATTCTGTACTGGCAAGAAATAACAATATTAAATAATGTTATTTGTGTGTAAAATAATATGATTAAATATTTTTATTTCCTGCCAATACAGTATTTCTACTGTTTGTGATCGATGTTCAACAAAAGAGATAAATTTTACGTTTCAAGGTAAATTTACTCATCTTTCCAGTTCTTTGCCAATTGATGGCAAGCAGGATGAATATTAGCCCCTATCTTCTTTCTTTTATATGTATACAATATGTCCTCATCCATTAGAAAGGAAAGAGCAGTTCTGTTCATTGATGACACAAATATTCTTTGCAAGAAGAAACAAGTTGTAGAATATCAGATGTTTCAAATGGGTTTCATCTTAACAAATTAATAGTTATAGATAAAAACTTTCAATGCAGTTTTGCATTTCTGAAAAGCAGTCACATGCGCCATTAAAAACAAGCGAAATGCAATTAGCTGATGTCAATGTAACAAAATTTCTGGGTCTCTCTCAATGTATAATGCATGTATGGAACTTTACAACTCATTGCCAGATGATATTAAACAACTAAAATCCTCAAGTTGAAGTGCCAAATAAAATCTTTTCTGCTACAAAACTCTTTCTATACAATTAGAGAGACTATACTGACCATCAGTAAAAAAAAAAACAATATTTATTTTATCAATAAATAATATTGTCATATGTACTGTATAATTAAAAAATGTAAATGCCTGTAACAAGTAATGTACTTCAGCTTCTAGGTCAATGACCCCCATTTCGATCAGGTTTCAAATCCAGTTGTTGTGATCTATTGAGAAAACACCGAGATGGTCTTGGGTTGTGCTTCTGAACATAAATGTAGCTTCACTACATGCATTTGTTTTTGAGCTTTCCTTTGCCTAGTTGTGGTAGGAGTAGAGCTGGGGATGTTGTTTGTTATATTGTTAACAAAACTGTAAAATTAAATCTGAAATCCATTAACTGGTAACTCAGAAGCAAAAATGTGTTGGTTTCAAATGTTGCTAACCTCTCATTGTGGGTTCTTTTATTCATCATTCAACTATGTAAAAGAAAAGGGTGGGGAAGAGATTCCAGTGTTCAAGAAAATGTAAACAGATTATACTTCTGTTTTACTCTTTTTTGATGAAAAGTAAATTTAAAAAAAATCAAGGTATGGTTTTAATATATGGGGGCAAATAAAAAGGTGGGAAAGTTTGACACTAGAGAGGATATTCTGAAATGTGCAGGAAATAATGTCCTGAGTGTAAGGTTTCACAGCCAAAGAAATGTAGTAATTCATTCGTACCACTGTAACTTTAAAATATCTGTGGGAATCATCACTTGTATCAATATGACTTTAAAGATTATTGACTTCAATTCCATTCATTTTCACTTACTACTTATTTTCTTTTCTAGTTTTCTCGATGTAGAATTCACCACCACTTGGTGCTGTAGACTTTTCTTCATTCAGTGTTTTGTTGCAATACCTAAATTGATAACATATTCCACAACCTGGAGGATGGCCATATGATTACATCTGGTGTTTTGATGTGCATCAAATTAGTGTTAATTCTTACAAGTCATGATGCACTGGAGAAATGAACTGTAAAACCGTCATTTACATCTCTTCTTCTTCTCCTCCTCCCAGGGCTGGATTTGCTGAGAAACCCTTGGGTGAAGCCCTTGGGCAAAAATTTGATTAAACATACTTTAAAACTATTTATAGTTATTAATTTTTGGTAACCATAAAATACATGCATTTAAATATGTTAAAGATACAGATTTCTTGCTGCAGAATCATCAATCACATTGTCAAAACTTATTTCCCTCTGAATATCATTATTCAGAAAATGTTATTCACAATCTATTTTTAATTTTTAAAAA